TATTTGTCACATCATTTGCTACCGAAATAGTATATGTGATCCTGGCCGTAGGACAGGCCGTTCCCGAGATACGAGCGAAAATGCGGCGTGCCACAGCGCAAGGTGAAAATCGGCATGCGGCCACACTTCTTGACTTTGATTTAGCCGAGTGCTATCACTCACATTCATTCATCTACGCCAAAGGACACGTTCGGATAGGTCTCCACACAAACATTTTTTCATCGAGTTCCTTCACTCTTGACGTTGATTTCGCCGAGTTCTATCACTTACATTCATTTCCCTGCGCCATACGACATGATCGGACTGGTCTCCACATAAATATTTGTTCATCGAGTTCCTTCACTCTTGYCAGGATGTTCTTTTGTGTTATCAGTTTGAAAGATTTCGTATAGGGCGACTCCGAGGCGACAACTATGAACCTAGGAGTAAAKAGGTTACAGAAATAGTTGCAAAAAGGGTTGAAAATACTTTCAAAAAGTCATCTATTCCGATAGTTTCACACACCAGAGTTGTACAAATGCTCACCACATACCATAAGAAATTTCTGACTATTAATCAAATTTTTTTAAGGAACCCAATAGGTTTGAGGTCTAAAAGAGACGATTTTGTGTCTTCTGCCGGAAAATTATTTGACATCGCTACTTGTAAATGCATTTATTTTTCTTCTTGCACTTGTCCAAAGGAAAGGAAAGTTCCTATCAATGAACAACCATTTCTCTTGGTCCAGAGAACCAGAAGAATTGGTCGCATTGGAAGTGTTGATCTACCTAAAACAAAAAAGATTACAAAGAAAAATGAACGTAAAGAAAASCTTTCAAAACGTCATTCAACATCAACACTTACCAGAAAAGTATYAGCTAGAACACGTGACCATTCAGATCAGCTAGACTCTCATACAGACGACAACAATGTAGGTGCGATACTGATGATGAATTTTCTCTTCCATCCAAACAAAACACACTAGTATTAAAACACACTGCTTTAGCTGCCCAAAGATTTGGAGTAAGTGATAGAGCAGCGGCCTTGATTGTTTCAATAATTGTTTGATAACAGAGGATCAGGCTAGCTTTGTCACTGACAAATGCARGATTAGTCGGCAAAAAAAAGTGTTGGAGTTAAGCTCCAAAACACCGAAAGTATTGACTCTGTATAAAGGCTGTATTTTGACGGCCGCAAAGACAATACACTTACACAAGTCAGCGAAGGTGAAAAGTACTAACGCGACACTGTCAAAGAGGAACATATTTCTCTTATAGCGGAACCTGGTTGTCATTACTTTGGCACGTCAGCTCTCCTTCCGGGTCAGCTGAGAATGAGACGTAAGCTATATGCCAACATTTACAAGACAATTCAGTTGATGTGGAACATCTAGAAGTTGTCGGTGCTGATGGCACCAACACGAACACAGGTTGGAAAGATGGAATCATTCGAAAACTAGAAAAAAGAATAGGTAGGCCATTGTAGTGGGTTGTTTGTCTTCTACATTTCAACGAACTTCCAAGAGTCCAAATACATTTTCTGACCACATAGGTAAAGTACTCCCTGATTGTAAGAAGTTGCCTGTTGTGAAATTTGAAAGTTTTCCATCCTGCAAATTACCTTCTGAGGTTATTAATCCGACCCAACTCAGCACAGACCAGCTTATCTCTATAAAATATCAGAAGCAGCTATTTCCGTTCAATGTTCCTCAGATTTAGCGTCGATGCATCCAGGTAACATGTGCAAATCTCTACATTTCTACTGACAAACCAACAAAGGAAATAAAGATTWTBGTCAAGTACATACTTACAGTTTACTCACCTTTGTGGTTCTCAATAAGATTCAACAGTTCAATCAAAGATGGCTCGCGCCATCTCTATGCTGCAATTCAAAGGTCGAGATACTTACTGCTAAACTGCGCAAGGTTGTCGATTCATCCATTCAACAGAATGCTTTCTTTGCTCTTCCAGAAAACATTCTCCATAGWATGATGACTGACGAACGGATAGAAGTCAGAAATTTGGCCATTGACCGTTTTCTGGCAGCTAGAGAAGCAGAGTCTGACACTGTAAATGGAAGGGTTAGATGTAATAAAGTGACAAAGCTGAATTTCAAAGCTATTAATTATTACGATATGATGAATTGGAAGACTATTACCTTGACTATTTCAACAGTTCTTTATTCAGTTTCTAACGAAGAACTCATAAAATAGCTGTCGGGTGGCACTGCAGAGGTATGGAAATTTAATGAATTCCCCTCTCACACTGACAGAGGCATCTTCTAAAGTTATTGGCCCCCAATCTTGTGATCGTTTTATACGCTCTACACTGAAATCTAGGCAACAAGTGCGAAAGTTTAGTACAAAATCTGATTTTATCAATAAATTTGACAGATTCAGACTAAAACATATGGTTGGTTGGTTGGTCCGGAATCGACTCACCCTACTGACAAATCAACAACCGACAAGATATTCACCATGCGCCAAATGACAGACACCGCTCCGTCGATTTCAAAGTTACTTTTGAGCTGCGACTCCCTTTCGTGTGACTTTTTATACAGCACAGGCTACATTGAATTTGTCACGAAGTTTGTATCACCCAGAAGGAAGCGTCGGAGACCCTATAAAGTATATATATAAATGATTAGTATGTTGAGCTGAGTCGATTTAGCCATGTCCGTCTGTCTGTATATATACGAACTAGTTCCTCAGTTTTAAGATATCGTTTTGAAATTGTGTCTGCACATCATTTTCTCTTCGAGAAGCTGCTCATCGATGGGACGATCGGAAAAAAGTTTTTGTATGGAAAACTTTTGTATTTGACAAGATATATTCACAAATTTTGGTATAGATTATTTTCTAAGACAACAATGCAATCTCCGAAAAAATTTTATGGATCCTTTCGCATTTGACGTGGCAACAATGTAATCTCCGAAGAAATTGTTCCGATCGGATTACCATAGCATATAGCTTCCATATAAACTGAACACAGTTACTAAAAGAAATGTACTTGTGATAGGTATATTAGCTTCGGTGCAGCCGAAGTTAACGTTTTTTCTTGTTCAACCTACTTCAGCGTTTGCTGAAGATATTGATATTATTGATCTTAACAACCGCGCTGGTGGTTAACTATTGCAAGACGAAATATCTCCTGTAACAAACAAACAGTCGTCGCACTCGCGACTTGGCACTCACGTCACTGTTGACAATCATAGCTTTGAAGTTGTAGATAATTTCGTCCATCTTGGAACCAGCAGCAACACCAGCGCCAACGTCATCCTCGAAATCCAACGTAGAATATCACTTGCCAACAGGTGCTACTTCGCACTAATTATTCAATTGAGAAGTAAAGTCCTCTCTCGACTAACAAAAACAAAACTATATACTTAAGTCACTCATTATTCCCGTCCTACTATATGGTGATGACAACATCTGATAAGTCGACGTTGCGAGTTTTCGACAGAAAAGTTCTGAAAAAGATTTACGGTCTTTTGCGCATTGCGCTCGGCGAATATCGCATTCGATTCAACGATGAGCTGTAGGAGATATACTCCGATCTTGACATAGTTCAGCGAATTAAAAGACAGCGGCTATGCTGGCTAAGTCATGTAATGTATTATTAAAACATTAATATACATATGTACTACAATATTAATTTTATTGAACTAATTTTAAATTCATCTTTTTCAAATTTGATTGTACTATAATATATTAAAGCTATTTTATTTTTTGTTGTTTCATGAAATAGTCAAGCCACATTTCAAGTAAATGGCTGATTAGAACTTGAGACAATTGCATTGAAAAAGTAGTTCTGAGAAATAATTTAAATATCTAAATTATCGAAAAATGTTTTTTTGTTTTAATTTCTAGATTAGAATACCCCCTCAAGTAAGGTAAAACATTTTGAGAAAAATTTAGACAAATTATGGACAGCCTAACAATAATAAAATATATTAATTCATTGATTTTAATCGAGATGGAGCTTAAATAATTTCCTGAAAATAAACTATTGAAAAACAGGTGGAAATTTTCGTAATGTTTTAAGAAATAAATTTATGTTCCAACAATTGCTTTCCAGTTATCTTAATAAACGCCGTTCATTACACTTTTGTCTAGTTATTAATATCCCTTTGAATTACTGATACTATCAGCTTCTTTAACAGAGATATTTAAAGCACTATAACTTCATAATTCCTTGACGAATATACAAATTAATTATAATCTATTGAATCGCCAATTTTAGATTTACTTGAACGTCATTGTTTCCATATTTTTTAATTTAATTTTACGACCTTTCTTTCCTTCCACAAATTTTTTATACTGATATAGTCCCTACGATTTACAATACAAATATACAAGGTGGACCTTTAAAAAAAAGGTGAACTAATGGTTTTTTTAGCAAAATCAATTTACTTCCTAAATAGTCTCCTGCTTCAGTATAGCTTTTTTTGGTCACTTAGTTTGATTGGCCCACTTGTTGATTGTCATTTAAGTATGTCCTCACGACCACTTTGAAAATGTTGAAACTACTCGTGCACTCTGCTATGGGATAGGCAATCATCGCCATAAACTTGTTACATCGGTTGAAACGTTTCGGTAAAAGTTTTACCAATTCTAAACAAAATTTACTGTTGCCTGTTTCTCACTGGACACTCGATAAAGATTATGGAGATGGAACTTGGAGCCAAACATAGAAACCAGGGTGAATTTCTTTTTCATCAACATTAATTATCCGATGGTTTATGGTCTAATTATAAATCACTTTTGATATTTCTTCAAAAGGAAAATGTAAAAATATGTAGAGCCTTTTATTTGAAGGACAATATCAAATGCGATTTAAAGCAACCGTAAATGTAATATATTATATTTGCATATTGAAATACTTCCTAATTCTACCTTATATATATATTTAAATAATTTTGACGTCTAACTAAATATTTTTGATGTTAATTTTGAATATTAGTCGAAATTATTAATTTAAAAAATATTGATAATAATTGCTTACAATTTACTTTATCTATAGGATAAAATGTCAAAAGTTATCGACACGAATTATGAGGACGGTTTGATGTTATCTGGATACCAAAAAAAATTGAATACAATGAAAAAAAAGTTTTTTGTATTATACAGAGATACTATCCAAGAGGGCGCCCGGTTGGAATATTTTGATAGCATGAGAAAGTTTAAGTCTGGCTTAGCTCCAAAACGTGTGGTAAAATTAGAGAACTGCTTTAATATTAATCGGAGATTAGATACAAAGCATGACTATGTAATAGCACTTGCAACGAAAGACGGTGGCTTCGGCATGGTTTTAGAAACTGAAGCTGAGATGTTAAAGTGGCTACAAGCGTTGCTTTCGCTTCAACGTAGTATTACGAATAAAGATGATATTCTAATTCCTAAATTTGGTAAGTAACACAAGTTCAGCGTTTATTTATTTATCTTATTACAAGACTCAGGTAATTCAAATCCAACAAGTCGAACATTGTGAATGAAAATAAGTTAAGGTTACAAAAATAGAAAATACATTACTGAGAAAAGCAGCACGCACAGTTTCTCTTGGTGCTGCTAAGATTTTTGGAGACTTTCCAAATTACATCGTAGTCGATCACAACTGACCATGTGTTCAAATAGGTCTCATTTCAAGGCTTTGTAATATCTGTATTTTTCTCTACCATAACATATACATTGAAGAAAAAAAAAAACTTTTACAAAGAGATGTTTTGATTTTAGAAGTGTCTTTCTCTTAAACTATTTCAGCTGTTAAGATGTAATCAAAAGTAAAAATATGCGAATATTATGTATTTTCCTTATTTTTATAAATGTTTTAACAATAAATCAATTATGATGCTATAACAAAAAAATTAAGATATCTTATTTGAAAAGCAAACAAGAAAAAAATGCATTTACTTTGGCAACACTTTGAATGCAGTTATCAAGTAAGCACCTTCATTTTTGAATTATAATATTTGCGTATGGTCAAACTGTATTATTTATAGTTTTTGAAGAAAAGATGGTGAACATCACCAGAGGAAGCTCTGGTAAAATATTGATATGAAATCTTTTCTAAAAAACATAATGTTGCTCAAAAAGACTGGTGAGGTTGGATTCTTGATGATAGTGGAACGACTGAAAAAAATTAGATGCCCAGGCTGAAAGCTAAGCTTCTCAGAGTATCAAGGAATCCCCTAAAATATCGACGCTGTTTCGAACTTCWTGCTCTCACCCTATTTTAGAGCGTACACACCACGAAACAAATCACACAATAAATATTGCAAAACGAATTATGTATTATATCTAAAGTGATAAGGAGTTTTGGTTAATTTGGATCTGATAGTAATTGATTTGTAAGGAGTAAGGAAGTCTAAGCTCTGAAGGACAAAATTGAAATAATACTATCAAGCATGGTAGAATCGGCATTGTGTGGTGTGTGGCAAAAGGTGCGCAGTAGGTGCAAATAACGTCGGTAAACTGGTTCTCATCGGAGAAATTTTGTAAAGAATAATGGGAACTGTACAACAGTTCTTTTGATCTTTGAAAACGTAGTCTTTTAGGATTTTTTAAATTTTAGAGAAAAAAAATATTCCATTTATATTCGTAAAATTAATAAAATTTTAGAAGAAAAAAAATCCATTTACATTCTTAAAATTAATCAAAAGGAATTTTTTTCACTCCTGGATGCAACTGAAAAGTTTTAATAGTTTAGGATATAGGACACTTCAATGACAACCCCTTCGCCGTACAATTTTTTTTTGTTCACTGTACTGGATCAAATATTGCGAATGCCCTTTATTTTTCGATATTTGGCGGCCGCAGTGTTGCAAACTGGCAACTTACACACGAGCGCTATTTTTTCATATTCAATACTGAATTTACGAGTTAAAGTCGACTGTATGGGTGTTTCAAGATGTGCCAAATCGAGCAAAAGTTGTTCGGGCACAAAGCATTTCCAAGTAAATGCTTGCCTCTTTTTTTGGAAACACTTGAAATGCCGCAAACATACCACTTTAACAAGGCACAAGAGGAAATTCTCAGTAGTGCATACCCATTTGTTTGCCAGTAGCCTTTCGAGAACTCTGGAAAACCARCCGCCGAAGGCACGTAGACTAAACATCTGCATTTTTAAGCACTCAAAACATCGATATGTTGAGTCATCCATCATTTACTATTGACACCGATTGACTTCTTTTTATTCCTGTAATTAGAAAACAAACTAAGAAGTCAACGGTTTTCGAGGCCTGAAGAGGTTTCCGGTGATTTTTTCATGATCGAACGTGGTGTGCGGCACGGTTTGTCAGAAATTTGTAGGCAGTAGTAAGGTATCGCCTCATTAGCACCTAGCAGGATATTGGAATTCATCAATTTGCTGGGGCTAAGTGCAACGCTGTGAGTTGGTAGAGGGCACAATAGACCCTAGGTCGCGGTGCAATCCTCATTCTTTATCTTATTCTTATTCTTATTCTTCTTAAGGTATTATTTCCAGGCTTTTCATTTACTACTCCGTAGCAGCAAAATTTCTAGAATTGTGTTGCTATGCAATAGCTACCGCTCTCACATTGTCGGGAGCCATAGCATAACAATGTAAAGTTTAGAATGTGTAGCTATAGCACATGAAAATTTTAATTAGCTCTGCTCTACTACCTCTACCAATTTTTTGCTACCGCTACGACAGAGCATAGTACAGCACTTCATATTTGGCTAATGCTGTAGTTATAGGTATTTTTACCTAACAAAACTCAGAGCAGAGCAGACCACATACTTTTACATTGTTATAGCAGAGCCAGTAAAAAACGCTACTGCCTTCCTTCCTTTTCCTTCCACATCGCAAAATGTGTGAACAGTGAAAAACGTGGCAAAAACGCAGAATTCAGCCATCTTTGTTTGTTTTCATTTGCACAATGTTGCCATTGCTCAATACGGATATATAGTTTTAATTACAATTTTTTATTATATAAAATATCAAAACTGAAAACAAACTATTAAAAATAGTTTATTTATTTATAAATAATAGTATTCGACTCTGATTTTGAGTTATTTTAAGAAAATTTCAAACATATTGAACAGATTGAATTATAAAAGTTGATAATTACTACAGTATATAGATATTGGCAACCCTGGGTTGTGAGAGAGCAATCAGCTGACACGTTTCCACGGCAAAAACCAAAATGCTGTAGATTCCCACGTCATCCTACGTCAAACAGAGAAGGGAGCAGCGTTTTTCACTGTGCACTTACATTGCGCACCCATAAGATAGGTCGTATCAGCTGACACGACCCACGATTCTACATTTTTCACTGTTCCTGCTATTATGCCTATAAAGTGAGAGTGGTAGCAATAGCAAAATTAAATGATACTAGAGTAGCGTAGTGTTTCAAACGCTGACTATTGCATCGTTGTAGATGGCGATGAAGCTGCCAATGTGATTTCTATTGGGATCGTAATTTGTGTAGTATATGTGACGAAATTTAATTTTTAACTAAATCCAGCGGACAAATAAATTCATCTCGATTATAAATATTCTATTCTATATTTTAAATTGGTTGAACACATTTCACAATAGGCATATTTTATTTGACCAGCAAATTAAGCTATTAGCTTATTTTGTATGGAAGACTTAGCCAACATAATTATGTTGGCTTGTCATAACCTATCACAGCTAGTATATTGAACTAGAGGTATTGCCAGCTCACTATTTTTTTCATTCACAATAGCTTGGCTTTTTCCAAAACAAAAGTAGTTTGCAATAGCGAGAAACCTCATTTTGACACTTGAAAATATAAACAGACCAAAATTACAGACTTTTTGGTTAAGTATTGAGTTAAAATTAAGACAAATTTGAACACTTGTTTTCAATTTTTTGTATTCTACATCTCAAATAAATATATTTGTATAGTATATTATCATTCCTTTTAAAAATTTGAAATTTCAAAAAAAAATTGTACATCTGGGCTTTTATGACGCTGAGTGCTGTGGTCGTGCTGTGAACTTTTCGGAATCCATGCTGGTGGCTGGCTAGACTCAGCTGATGAATAAAATCGGGAATAGCAAGGTCTCAAGCGTCTTCACTAATGGGGAGAGGAGAGTTATCCCCTTTGCCTCCCCTTTGTTTACGCATTTCCCAGATTCACACTTACCGACCCTAACATTGTGTGGGAATTGCTAGCTCGTCGTCTGCAATGGGTGTTGGTTTGACTCAACGTACGCCATTTACGAAGAGGGAGCCCGTGAAGGTGTTAGCGGCTCCACTCAAAATGGCGGTCGGTATTTGTCTGAAGTGAGTTGTGTCCAAAGTCTGCTCATCCTACTGTCCGATGTCGTCGCTGTAGTCATGAAAATACCTCCTTATGTTCCTTGGAGGCGGTTTCTGCGAAAACATCCCATCAGAAACTGCTTGGAGAGAAATTCATTATATTCCTTAACCAGACCATACACGCCTCTCTATGTAAATGTTCGACTGGACACATCTAAATGCATCATAATATAATCCTCTTGGGTGGTTTTTGGTTTAGGCTCTAAACTACCTGGGCTTTTATGACGCTAAGTGCTGTGGAGGTGCTATGCACTTTACAGAAGCCATGCTGATGGTCTGAATGTCGGGAGTGGCAAGGCCTAAAGTGTATTCGCTACTGGGGAAATGATAAGACTCCCCTATGTTGGCGGGAATCCCAGGTTTCAGTAGTGGGACCTCTCTTCTGATTTTCCACACATCGGCTATTTGAAAAGTGGTGGTGAGCGACAGGTTAAGGGCCTTGGTTAGGAAGTTTACTCCTATTGATTTAGCTTCAATCTTTTTTATTCCAGCTGGGCCGGTTTGATTTATAAGATTTAGCCTTGTTGTCGGTAAAAGTGGTGGGCGGTCTCGACATAAGGTTTTAAAGACTAAAAAAAGGATATATATGTGTTTCTTTTTTTGCGGCGACATGAATAATATAATATGAAAAATATTAATAAATAAGACTATCGTGATGAATCTCCAGAAGCGCCTTGAAAAAAGTGGAATATTATAACTCGTTTCCGAATCATCTGAAACAAAAAATTTTTTATTCGTTTAAAGTTGATGTATTTCTCGAGGTAATCAGAAAAGTTTTTTCGTTTTTTTTTTGCTGCACTTGGAAAAAAGCGTGATTAAAGATAAAAAAAATCGGGGTTAATTTCTTAATAAAAATAGAAAGAAAATCCTCCATCAGATTACCTCGAGAAATACATCACCTTTAAAACGCTTATAATTTTTTTGTTTTAGATGATCCCGTAACGAGTTTGTAATGTATTCAAGGCACTTCGGGAGATTCATAGTCACAGGCTTAACATTTTTCATTGAAAATTTTTTCTAATATAAAAATAGGTAATAAAAATGCATCACAAACAAAAAGTACTGACGAACAAGGTAAGCCGTTGAGAATGGTAGTTG